ATCTTTTGCAGAAAACAGGCTGGAGTTGGTAAGTCTCGTTTTTCATTAGACCTTAAATAATTTCTTTGTTTAATGATCCAACTTGTAGCAAACAATGAGTGAGAATTTACACTCGCGCTACATCAGATGGATGAACAATAAGGTTTCAATCTAAGTGGAGACGGTTCATTTAATCGTGTAACTTTAGTAAGCAGATAAAATAGCAGCCTTACAAAGTCCTCGTATACGATGCTAGTTAGTCAGATATTTGATTGGAAAAATAACGACGTTTAAGTGTTTGTGCGAGCCCATGCAAACGTGCTTTTGTCGTTTGTTTACAGCGTCCTCAGTCGTTGGAGGGCGGAATTGTCATGCAGGCTTTCAGATACTTATAAAGAGAAAGAGATAAAACTTCACTTTACTGACCATCAAGTGGTTACAAAGCTTTGAAGTTTTCTGTTTAGGTCAAACTATGTTTTCGTAGCGTGTTGGGAAATACAATTAAAACAAATGCAGGGTTTCACACAATCCATGTTGTCCCATCTCATATCGCTGAAGTTAACAAAGTGGATTGAACAAAAAACAGTTGTCTTTCACTGGACAACATGACAAAATACCGAGGACCAACATAAAATGTATACAGTTATTTGCATGTTAGTGTCAGACTTTACATTTACAGCCTGAATTGAAGTACTGAAAGATTATTTAGCAGTTTCTTTCCTTGGTATTTATAAAGTCTCAATATTACCTTTACGTCATTTGTTTTGCAACTTTTACGGTTTAAATATGCACGAGTTCATCAATTATACGTCTGTTTAACCTGATTTGACCTTTATTTCTTTTGCAGCCATTGGAAGACTTTGCGAAAAATGTAAGTTTTACTAATTTTCTTTTCATGAACAGTTATCAGTAATTTATTGTTTTAAACCCACAAGGAATTTGTTAATCTTTGTAACACAGCGAGTGATATCACAGAGTTTATCCGCTTCATTAAAGGGATAGTTCACCCAAAAATGAAAATTCTGTCATCATTTACTCAGCCTTTGCTTATTTCAAAAAGCAAATTTTGTTTGAATTTTTTTTTTTTTTCAAACATATTAGATATTTTGAAGAAATCTGTAACCATTGACTTCCATAGTATTTGTTTTTCTACTTTTAAAGTAAATAGTTTCAGTTTTCATCTTTGTTTAAAATATCTCCTTTAGTGTTCAACAGAAGAAAAGAGGCAAGTAAATAGTGAGTAATTTTTCATTTTTGGCTGAACTATTCCTATAACAATGTAAAGAGATCAAAAAAGGATGACAGAATTATTGTTTTGAGGGGGTCATACTGTTATGATTTTATGCTCTTTAACACAAATGTGTATTTTCTTTTCCAGGTGATGGCAAATGTGTGATCTGCGACTCTTATGTCAGACCTTGCACACTGGTTCGTATTTGCGATGAATGCAACTATGGCTCTTACCAAGGACGCTGCGTGATCTGTGGAGGTCCTGGAGTGTCTGATGCCTATTACTGCAAAGAGTGCACCATACAGGAGAAAGACGTGAGTATATCTGCTCTACATTTGCCCAAATTAGTTTTTGACTAAACTGAGAGAGGGCTGGAATAAATATTCCATTCGTCAGTAGTTTGAGTAAACTTCAAACTTCATTATGTGGTTTTAGATGTTTGCATTGTGTTATGTTACTTATTAAAAGGTTGAATTCTCAGTTCAAAAATCCAAATGATTAGAGGTGGGGAACTTTAAGGTCTTCAGCATCCGATTACAATTATAGGAGTTACGATCCCAATCCAAAACATACATTGTTTATTTTTTCGGAAATACATCGATAACAGTGTAATATAATATTAATAATGACTTATATAATAACTGCACACTATGAATCATATAATAAGCATTAGAAAATAGTTAATTCATTCATCATTTAAGGATTAACTCTGCATTATTAAACAATAGTAAGCAGTTAGGCTTACACAATTTTTAGCCTATAATTGAGTCTATTTATTTAACTATTTACTTGTGTAAATGTGTTTTAAATATATATTATTTCAATAATATTATTGACAAATATGCAAATGTTTATGATTTATGTACAATGCAGATAGTAAATTAATAGTTTCTGTCGTTTAGTGGATGTATGCTATGAGAAATTTGCTTTGTTTACTAAACAAGTGGATCTAATTGGATTTGCAAACCTTAAAATAAAAGTACAAAGGGTATTTTTTGATGAATTATGTATTTAATTACTAAATCAATTATATTTCTAAAATTATATTTATAATTTGATTTATATACAATACACATATAATGGCTTAATGATTGTATTTTCAAAATTTGTTAAAAAAAATAAATTCAGTTACAAAATTAAGTGTGGCATTGTTTAACACAATTTAAGATTTAAGTTTTTAGATCAATTTTAATGAGCAAGTAAATTACTAAACTATTTAGACATCTTATTTGTCAGGCATATAGCTACTCTTGTTAATAAATGTTTATTATTAAATCTCTACTGCAATTCAGTAGTAATTTAAGGACGCACTAAACAAAAGCTTGGAATCTCAATCCTTTAAAAATACAATTACAGTGGAATACTGCTTATGTGTGGCTATAGAAAAAAAACATGATGCATCTCAATTAGCATTTAACCATCCTAATCAGTATTAAAAATTGAATTGGTGTATCCCAAATCATAATATGCTAAAATGAGTACTCCCAAAAGTTTGTCAAGTGCAGATCTGTGTACGCTTTACTGCCCAAAACACATCGTGTGTTGGATGTGAATTGCATTAGAACTATAAACAGGGCTAAAATGTGTAAACTTGAAATATGGAGTATAAGTGAAAGAAGCAGTTAAATCTAGAGGCTTCGGTAAATAAGTTTGAATGACTTCATTATTTTTTAAGCTGATGTAAAATATTTATTTAAAGTTTTCACATTTTATTTAATGCAACAGAGTGAACTTTTATAAAGATGCTGTTGGTCATTAATTTCTGAATGTATAATTGTGCAAACCCCTGAGGAGATTTCTCTGCATGAAAGACTTATTAACCTGCAGGAAATTAAATATGAATAAATGTGGATGATGTGACGAGATGATTAAAAGGGCATAAAACTAAGCAACAGATTGGTCCGTTACTGAGGTAGTGGTACAGTCACAAAGCTTGAATACTCGTCTTTAACACACTTAAAATATGTACGTTTTGTTCATAAAAAAACATCGAGTTGGCGAATTGGGACACAGCTTGTCTTTCCAGCCAAACTGAATCTTTTTTTTCTGTTACAGAAAGTCTCAATAAAAACACTAATGTCAATGAAAGTGATCAAATAAAATGAAGGCATCTTTTGGAAATAGCTTGACACTTCAGATGAAAATGGAATCAATTATATTTTTACGTCAGTAGATGGACTGGTGACCAGTTATCATTCACGTTATTTTTATTTTTTAAAGAAAAGAAATTCATTTAGATATGTGCACTCATCCAGTAACAGAACAAGTGAAGTCTTTTAGGAATATAATTACAAAACAAATGATTCATTATGTTGTTTATTTGCACAATTTCCAGAGGCTTCACAAAATGACAGTATTTTTAGTTATCTAATCCAAATAATCTAAGAACTGTGTTTATCCAGAATCATGCAGCTTGTGTTACTGTCAGTTTCTGAAAGTCTCTTTTTCTTCGTCACACAGAGAGACGGCTGTCCCAAGATCGTAAATCTGGGCAGCTCAAAGACTGATCTGTTCTATGAGAGGAAAAAATATGGCTTCAAGAAGAGGTGAAGAAAGAAACGGAAGGAGTTTTTTTTGTCAAAGTAGCTTTTTTTTTGTGCAAATTTTTTCATTTTGTTATCAGACTAAATTGAATAAAAAGATGTTTTTAAATATTGTGATGATTTACTTTGTTGTAATTGTCATGTTTCATACTTAAAGTTATGCATGTTTGGAATTTAAGATGACAACTTTTTTAAATTGAGGTACTTGAAACCTTTTATAACTCCAGAATGCTTTACTTGTCTTTTTTATACACAAACTGCATCTGGCATGTAATTCAACATGATTTATTAGCTTCTCTCTCCTTCCCTGTCACAAGGAGGAAAAATGATATCAAACACATTTAGTGGTCCATTATTAAACTAATACATTATATTAACAATATTAAATGTAATTGTTAAAATAATTTATTGTAACTGATCTTATATTCACACACGTGATATTAACTAATGATAAATCCCATGCTATTTGTCAATAAATGCAGTTACTTAATTAAAAGAGACCAGATTAAACTAAGAGTCCCACTTTATATTAGGTGGCCCTAACTAATACATAATTACACTGAAATTAACCATTTGCTTGAATGTACTTATTGTGTAAATGCATGTTTTTACATTGTACTTATGATTAAATACCAGCATGTATTTACTTAAGAAAATATTTTCTGTAACTACATTTATATTTACACGGTTGACCATTCCTTAAACCTTAACCCACTCTTAAACACCCATATCACCAAACCTCTTCCTATCTCTACCCATAACCCTCCTCAAGAGCACCAGAAATGTTCTGCAATACATAATGAACAAGGTAAGTATATTGCAGGTATTTTTTGATGCAAGTAAATAGTAGATAAGGTCACCTAATAAAAAGTGGAACCTAGATTTTTAATATTTTATTTATATTACTTTGTAAAAAAGTTTTACATTTCATTTCTAAAAAAGTGTAAGTTTCAGTTTGCCAGAATACCATTTAAACAATGTAACTTACTCTGACTGAAATGTAATGGATGCTGATGAAAGACTTGTATAGACTGAATGATAGCACTATGTCAGACTAGAGTTTGTTTGGGTGGACTGCTGTGTATCTGAGAGTGTCGCACTGCCTTTTATTAAGCCCCTCCTCCTTCCCTTATGCAACTTTTTTTTTTTGGCATCCGTCTGCGTTACACAACGCTGCTCCCCCATCTGAAATTAGAGATTCAGTCTCAATTCTTGCAATTTATACAGAATGTTTAAAAGCCCATGAGTAAAACAAATCAGAGTTTTTAATAATATGTACAACATGAAACAGCCAAGGCATTCAACATTTACAAGTCGAAAACATCTCAAACACAATCCAAAAAGAAAAAAACTTTCAAAACGGACAATTAGAAAAAGACTTTTTGTACAGGAACAAATTACATATTCAACCAAGATTCATGGAGTTAGTCGCTGTTCCTCTCAAATCAGCCTGCATTTGTTTGCTTTCTCGTCTTACACTTAGGAAGCTTGAAGAGAAACGTCAAACTGAAGGTGCGCTTATAAAGAGATTCTAGTACAGACCGCAAATATGCACATCGTAAAACCTGATTTAAGTGAAGTCATTGTGTACTAGCAACAAAACCTAAGCTTCAGAGTTTCAATCAATTAGCTTTGGTCAAGCTCACATTACAGCAACTGCCATTCTGAAAAAAAAAACAAATGAAAAAAGGACAAACAGGCCTCACAATGAGTACTGAAACATTAGACTGCTAGCCTACTTCACAACAATACACAACATATAGTGAATCTTAAGAACTGACCCTTTATCTTCTTTCCCTGATGATAAAAAAGGACAGAGACTAAATATGTGCCTACAATAAAAAAAAAAAGCAGGAAGGTGGCAAGCAGAGGTTTGAATTCAGTTTCTGATATGTAACACACTAGTGCTTTTATAAACAGTCACGCTGCTCAAGACACTTATGGATCACTGCAAAACCACTTTTGTTAAACATTTGATGGTTATCTGAAAAGATATCACATGATGCATACGAAAACGAAAACCTTTATATAAGCACTTCATTTGATTTGCCCTAAATACAGATACAAGACCAGGTCACGTGTACAGCGTGTTATTTCTGTACATAAACTGACCTCCATGAGTCCCAGAAAAGGGCAAACTGCCATCCTGAAGAGAACAAAGTATGATTTTAAAAGATCTACAGGCTTGCTTTGACAGACTGCATCTAAAGTTTTTTGCTCACGTCAAGTTAAAGACAGACAAAACCATTGTTTTTGTTACACATGATATATATATATTTACATTTCCTGCTAACAGTTTTGTTGTTTCGGTTAATCTGTAATTCTTAAAATGCAATACAAACTCCTCATATTTCAACAATCGCCTCTTCTACAGTTCACACTCATACATGTGGAAGTACACTGAAAACAAATGAAGTCATTATTTATAAATGCAGACTGTTGACTTCCAGTGCACATTATTCCCTAAAACTACTTTGATATTGTAAAACTTGTAAACAAGAGCAGATGGGGAAGACCTTTGTTTCTACATTGGTGTAAAGCACTTCAAAGCTCAGATGAATATATTGGGTATGCCGTTGCATTATACGGAAAGAAAAAGAGCTGTTGACCAGGTTACTAAGCACATGAACGTCACTTAGCTCTACAGTCTGAATCGTTCACCTGCTTCTATCTTGTCTCCTCCTCTTTGTTCCAAACTATTATTCATTTATTGCCTTTCAACAATGCAAATGAATCAATAACTGCTCAGACGTCTTCTTCAGGTCCACTTGAAAAAGAAGAGAAAGCAAAAGTTGTTAATCACATACTCTAGTAGCAGTCTATTGCCTCGTTTATTACAGGCAGTGGGGTTTTTTTTTATATGCAAATGCTCCGTGTTTGCGATTGTCCCTTACAGCGCTCCGTATTTGGCTTCATATCGTGCCACTGTGTTCTTGCAGCGCCCAAAGTCCTTGCGCAACTCTGCCACTTCCTGTCTGAGCGCTGAGTTTTCTCTCTCCAGAAATGCCGCTCGAACTGTGATCTGATTCTCTTTCAGGCGCCTGGCATCCCGTGATCGTTTGGCTGCAACATTGTTCTTCTTCCTCCGCTGCCAGTATTTATCATCCTGAAATAGTGCGTGAACATTAAAAGGAATATTTGAAAAGCTTTCTTTGTTTTTGAAATGGCACGGTGTTGTTATAAATGATGCTTGCATGGTTTTATGTCTTTTGAAGTGATCAATATGAAACTGGAATTTAACATCTCGTGACTTTACGTTTAGGGTGTAGCCGTGTAATTAGGTTTGGGCCTGAGGCCCAAAAACTGGTTTGGCTTTATTCAATCGTCATAGTCAAGTATTTAGCACACTAGTATTTAGAGCAGTGCAATATTTGTATCATCCAGACACCATTTATTTGTACATATAACTTTTAGCATTGTTTACTTTTCAGTTTTAAGGGGAAAAAAAAAAATGTTAACGTCAAATAAAAAATGTTAAATTAAAAAACACTTTTGCACAAATTTATTTCATTTTGAACAAAACTAATAAAAAACATTTGTTCTGGGTTTTCAATTCTTTTTGGTTAACTAAAATAACCCTTATTACATCTTATTTTATATCAGGTAGTAGCTACTAAATTACTGAGAACTGAAATTAACAAGACCAAGTTTTGGTTTAATTTAATGTCCCTAAAAAACAAACTATTTTTATTTCACAGAAATAAAAGGTAGGGATGCACCGATTTCACTATTAACTGCAATTTAATTGATCTCGGTTAATTAATCGCAAAGGCTTCTCAACATCATGATTCTGCATGAAACAAAACTGCTGCAACTAAAAGTTAAGTTCCAAGCTTGTACATCTAGGCTAATACGCACGTGCACTGAATTTACTATGGCTGAGGCTGTTAACTAAGGGCAGTTCACATGTCTTTTGCTCGCACAAGTTGGTTATTTCTTTCCTTGTGCGCATATTGGGAGTGATGTGCACCGGGTGCTCTCAGGCTTTCCAGGTGCAACTAGTTGAAAGATTTTTTTTCATGTTTGAAAAAAAAAAAATTTCATTGTTTTTGGAAGAAAATGATTCTGTTCATCAAGACGTCATTTATTAAATGTATTTTTTTTATATTTATTAAAATTTTAAATAACTGCTTTCTTATTGTATGTAGTAATTGTAATAAAATTTTAAATAACTGCTTTCTTATTGTATGTAGTAATCGTAATAAAATTTTGTACTCCAGTTATTATTGGTTTATTACTATTAACATTAATTAAAATAAGTCATTCATTCATTTTCTTTTCTGCTTAGTCCCTTTGTTAATCAAGGGTTTCCACAGCAGAACGAACCGGCAACTTATCCAGCATGTTTTACGCAGCGAATGCCCTTCCAGCTGCAACCATAACTGGGAAACACCCATACTCAATTCACCTATAGAGTATGTATTTGGACATCCAAAGCAGTGACCTTCTTGCGCCGCCTAATAATAATAATAAATAAATAATAATTATTAATATAAGAGTGATTTTTTAAGGATCATAACTGGAGTAATAAAGCTGAAAATTCCTCCTTAAAATCACTGGAATAAAGGATTAAATTAAATTATCAACTACCGTTGAACACTTATTTTATATTGCAATATCAGTTCACAATTTTTCAATTTGTACTGTATTTTTGATTAAATAAATGCAGCCTTGGTGAGCAGGAGAAACTTAAGTTTAAAAAGTTTAAGACATTTGAAAATCCTACTGACCCCAAACGTTTCACCGGTGGTGTATAAATAGGAACGTAAGAAGGGAAAACTAATTTCAAAAATACTATAAAATTACTAAAACTTTAAAATTCAGAAAGAAGTTTTGCTATGGTCTCATTTTTCATGAAAAAAATAAATCTCTACTTAGTTTATAAAAGTTCCTCATAGTTTAAACCCTGATTTTAAAGGGGACCGTGTATTTACCTTCTGATCCTCAGGCACAAACACTTTCTTTGCCTTCTTGATCATAGGCTGCGGCTTCAGCTCCTCCTCGGAGAAGCGATGTTTGCGGGGATCGAACAGTTCGCCCCCAGGAATGCTGGAGAGCACGAGGTCTGTGGGATCTGGCTCGAAGTTCACGTCTACCTCGATTTCATCTGGATTAATGGGATCTGGTGTCATCCGGTTCTCTTCTGTGGAGAAAAGTGAATTAAGAAATGCCAACAATGAAATTGCGTTCAAATCCAGTACAGTTTTATTACTTCCAGACACATCTTGCCATTTGATTAGGTATCTCTAAATGTCACCATCTCTACTCTTAAGTCTTACTCTCAGATCTTCACGATAAGCAGATTAACCATGTAATGGATTCATACTCGGGTTGTGACAGACAGCACACAGTGTTCTGTTCTTACAGACCTGATTTGTTGTCTGCTGAGCTCGAGCTGGATGTGGTGATTGTAACCACTTCCTCTTCACACGGATCCAGTGCCATGACAGGCAACAGAGTGACTGCTGGGGCTGTTTTAACTGCAGAGGCTGTGGATGGTTCCTCGGCCGTCAGCTGTATGTTTTCCTTCTCACTGCTCTTTTGCTCATTCTCTGCAGCAGCAATGCCGTTCTCCATCAGAAACTCCTCCAGATCCATGTACTCCAGGTGGAAGGTGTCTCCATCATAGGGGATGGTCTTTTCCCAGATGGCTGGCGTTAAGGCGGCTGAAGGTCCCATTTCACTGACCCCTCCAGACTCCACACTCTCAAACAGCTTCTCTTTATCATTTTCTGAAATATAAAATAAACACTAAATCATAATAATATGTACAGTATTTGACATCAAACAGACTGCTGCAAACCAAACACATACAGTGTTTGCATTCTAAACACCACATTTAAAGGCATAGTTCACCCTAAAAAACTATCATCGTTTACTCACCATGTCCTTGTTCCAAACCTGTTTGGTTTCTTTGTTCTGTTGTACACAGAAGGCGATATTTTGAAGTATGTTTGGGGAAAAAACACCCTTGACCTCCATAGCATTTTATTTATTCTTACTAAAGATGTCAATGGCTGCTTTTTAGAAATTCTTCAGAATATCTTGTTTTGTGTTTTCAACAGAAGAAAGCAATTCATTAAAGTTTAGGTAGAATAACGAAATGAGAAAATGGTGAGAAGTTTCATTTTGGGTGAAAGCTTTGCTTTAACCCTTGCTCAGTTATATTTGTAACTGTATTTAAAAGGGGTGCTACAACTGCTTTTCTTAACCCTATGTGAATCATGTGCGATATCAAAATTCACTTACATTATGATTCCATAATCTTATTCATTATACCACAGGTGACTAATCCTCAGAGATAACCTAACTGAAAACAGTTGTATTAACAACACTTTAACTCCAATAGCAAATGTGTTGTTTAAGCATTAAATGACATCACTTGCACTCCTAATATTCTATTATCCTGTGTTATACTGAATATTTTCTTTTCATGACTGGACTCTTTCCATGTTTTTGAATTAGAGAAGTCAATGGGCTCAACAGATGCTTTATAATTTTCATCCGTACGCCTAAATTTCTAAATTTTAAATTATCTTTATGATCAGTCACGTGCCTCTATTGTCACGTATGTTTCACATCAAATGCAGCATGGTGAATGGAAAAAGGCCCTATGAATTAAGGAACATGGTAAGGTACTGTACTTTTTTTAATCATAATATTTATTCATATTTTCCAGTACCAGTATACCACACAACTCTAGTGTGAAACATTAAGCAAATAAATAAATAAATAATGAAGTAGGATTAAATTTATCCAGGGTTAACTCCGGTTCGAGTGAACATTTAAGTCTGAAATTTAGATCTACAAGAAGGCAATACAACTCACGTTTTACAGTAACACATATGTAGGTAGCACCCTCACCGCACAGCAAGAAGGTCGCTGGTTCAAGCCCCAGCTGGGTCAGTTGGCATTTCTGTGTGGAGTTTGCATGTTCTGCCCGTGTTCGCGTGGGTTTCCTCCGGGTGCTCCGGTTTCCCCCACAAGTCCAAAGGCATGCGGTACAGATGAATTGAATAAGCTAAATTGGCCGTAGTGTATGTGTGTGCAAGAGTGTGTGAGTGTTTCCCAGTATTGGGTTGCAGCTGGAAAGGTATCTGCTGCTTAAAATATGTGCTGGATATGTTGGCGGTTTATTCCACTGTGGAAACCCCTGATTATTAAAGTGACTACGCCAAAAATAAAATAAATGATTGTACTTAATAGATATTGGTGTATACCTGAAAAAAACAGATTTCATCAGGTGACTGAATAGATCTACAAGGTTGGCAGAACCGATAAGTCCAAAGAACCATATAAAAAGGTAAAATACTGCGGTGTTTCTTTTTTACTTCAAATGACCCTCTTAGATATGCTGTAGATAAGATGGAGCAAACAAAAACAAGTATCATCTTTATATCCCACTAAGCTAACTCATTGAAAAGATCGCGGGCTTAAAGAATTCATTCAGAGGCGGGCATCTCTAGTTCCATACAGTTTCCAGCTCAGCAACCGTGACATATTGAGTGCAGCGAACCAAGTTATAAATAACGCAAATAAACATGTTCTGTATTTACATAACGTCTCTCGGTATATTACCATACAGGTCACCATTCAGCATTACAGAGAGCAGCGCCTGCAAACTGCGCAGCCTCGAGCGCCTGACCGACTGACTGATGCTGCACTTACCGTCGTCGCCTTCCAGAAGATTCGGTGGAGGGGTTTCCATTATTTTCTTTAAAACTACTGGAAATGCAGCCGAAGTTTCAGCGCCAGCGTCCATCGTGATGGAAATAGGCTTCATGTCCGTTCCCCCGACGCTTTTTTGTGCAGCGCGTAACTTTAAAACCGACTTCAAATCCTTACGTTGATTTAACCAGAAAAGAGACTTTATGTCTTCAATACGTTGTGTACACGAAACACGCACTATACTTGCAATAAACTCGACGCGTCACACCTTTTCATTCACATTACCTACTTGCCCGTGTTTGACCTGATTCGACTTCCAGCGCAGTGTTTTAATATTCACATTAGCCACGCCTCTTGTTGGAGAAAAAATACACTGTTTTCGAGCATCCTGATTGGTCGGTTTCGTTTTCATCTTATGAATAATTAAACAGAAGAGGCTCGTCCGTGTGTGCGTAGCAAAGACTTTACAAAGTCTCCTCTTTGGTCTGTCCAAACCAACTTAACGCATTTTTCCTGTAGCGTATACTAAAATTGAGTCACAAGATATGAAAAAAATAAAAACTTTAAAATTACAGGCCTTTTACGTCTGTAGTTTACAACAAAACATGCTTGGTCACTGCTCATGCCTTGCGGGAGAACCGCTTGTTTCAGCCTGTAGTTAATGGGCTTTGGCACATGGCCCTGCACGTGCACTCACAACACGTTCACTGTGCACACAGCCAATCACGAAGCAGCAAAGATAATGCAAAAATGTTGTATATATTTCACGTGTAAAGTGAGGTTGTAAACACCTTGCCCTTAAGGTTATACTTGAGCTTATTATGCACATAACATAGTTTCCACACGACACATTACAAATCAATATCTAGCAAGCCACTGATATATTTATTACTTGGACATTATTATTTTTTCGGATATAGCATAGCTTTTAAAATATTTAAATTTTAGCCCCAATTTGCAAGTTTGTTCCAATGCAACGGCAAACTTAAATAGTAATTATATGCATACTATTTAAATGAGAAGATTGCCCATTGCAGGATGCTTTTTATGTTTCACAAAATACTAATGCAGGCCCATCTAAATTCCACTTAAGTCCGCTCACACACTAGTTATGTCGTAATTATATTAGAACATTAATTTATTACTTATTGAGTAATGTCCACTACGCGATAAATTGAATCAGAATAGTAATAAACACTTTATAGTTGTATTGCATACTTATTGCACCATTGCCATAACATTAATTACACGCCCCCGACCCAAAATAGTAATAAAATCTATATATATATGATAACGTTATGCACATTTATGATTTATGAAGAGGAAGGAAAACACATTTGTCTTTAATACTGCATTCTGTGCTACTAATCTGTATATCTTCGTCCTACGTTGGGGTTTTGATCACACGTACTGCTTGGTCTGTTTGACGCATGGCGTAGCATCATAAACACAGTCCTGCAGAATACCAGTTGCGTCCAGTACAGACTGCTTTATAAACACAGTGGAAATACGGATATATTTGGGAGACTCCACTTTACCTGTATTTCCACTGTACGCATAAAGTATTTTAGCCAACACTGAAACATTCTTACCGTTATCATCTATCGACGGGAGAGAGAAAGGGTACTCAAGCAGAGCTTTGAATATTTCCGGAATTTCTGAAGACATCTCAGAACGGTTTCAGTTGATCAACACCTGGAAAAAAGCAGTGTGCTGGAGACGGTTAATCAGAATCAAACTGTCTCTCACATGAAGAGTAAATTGACTGTCAAGTGAGAATTGTGAAAGTTTTTATCTTGGTCACGAGGTCTGCCCTATCTACGAAGTTACTTAACTAGTCCCGCCTCAAATCGCTTCATTTCCATAGGGGTTGGTCATTTTGACCAATGAGCGTCGTTTAATTGTGCCTACTGCTTAATATTTAGCAATACGTGGTCGTTTATTGGTCATTCCAGCTGCATGTCCTCACTCTGACAGCCAATAGGAACGAAGACAAGTTATCTAAGGCTAAAAAATCTGCGCAGCGTGTGTCAGTTACGAAAGTCAGGGCAGAAAGTCAGGGCGATTTAAACGGTGATAAAATCTCAGTTTCATTCCACGGAGACAGAAATGTGGAAATGCGAATTGGCAATATGATAAATTATACCACTTCTGAGCGGAAAAATAAACGAACGACAACGGATTTGACGTAAACAGAATAAAACGCACCTGTGAGCAATAAGCCATGGACCTTATTGACTAAGCATTGAGATAGTTACTACCAAAAGTAACTTCATAGATTTTTTTATAATAAGGCTACTTTCTTCAGTTTTGAATTGATTACTGACTGAATGCATCACTACCCTGTAGATTATTTAATGTACAATTAATAACCAGCTGCACAAAAACTTGTATTGTTTGTCCATCGGATCTGATCAAAATGTTCTATTGTCACACTGCATTTTGCATTGTTTTGTAGTCTACTTGCTGGTAGATGACAAGATATTCTGAAGAAAGTTAGAAGTCAGTCAACTACAGGGTCAGGATTTTGTTGATAATCTTAGGAGGAACAGCCAGTGCATATACATATATCAGATGTCATGCAGGGATGGGCAAACGGTGTCCTGGAGAGGCCTGTGCCAACAAAGTTTTGCTCCAACCATAATCAAACATAGCTGTCTGTAACCTGTTTACTTTTTGGACACAGATTAAAATGTTCAGGTGCATTTGATTAGTGTTAGAGCAAAACTTTGTAAGACACTCACCCTCCACTGACCAAGCTTGCAAATCCCTTATACCAACACCCATCTACGGCAATAGTATTCCATAGTGCAGGGGATCCCAAACTTTTCAGTCCGAGACTCACAACCCCCACATTCCTGAGGTGGTTAAATATACAAGTGTTGGACACACAACAATAAGCTTATATAAACAAGAGCACAAAACACAAAAAACAGTCTAACAATAGGCTATAATTTATATAGTCATTTAATAAATTAATTTCAAGAGTTCACATTTAGCTGATGATTGAATACGAAGCGAGTTTGACATGCTTTCCCAGGAAAGAGCCCGGGGCTCCCTCCTGTTTGCAGGGGAGTTTGAGCTCAGATAGGTATCGAGAACTCCCCCTTTGTTTACGAGCATATGGCAGATGATAATTGCTACATAGAGTTAAGCTGCGGAAGTAAAATTTTACTTCCTGCTTTGCTACTGTTCGGACGTCTTTGCCCACTGCTCCGCTCTTCGCACTCTTGCTTTTATATCTTATACCCTAATTTTAACTTGAGCCTATCAGCACAGTGCTCAAACAACACGGCTTGAAGATCAGCATCGATTCTACAAACTTTCTGGAATATAGCTTTACTAACAAGAAAGGAATTACCGTCTAAACAATCCTCCCGCTACCAGCTATCAGCTGCTTACATTCCGGAGACGGGAAGACACGGCTGTGAAAATGCCTCTGGATCGGATTAATTCAGATTCCCACTGCTGTACAAACTGCCACAAACTTCTACAAAAGATTGCAGTTCTTGAAACGAAGTTGCTTGCGATCCGACCAGAGCTTCAGCTTCATTGTGGATCCTCTCAGCACACAGCCGGTGAGTCCCATAAATCTGTTCCTGCTACTGTTTTGAGCACAGAAAAACAGAAAAGAACTGTTGAAAATGAGCATTGGCATAAACAAGGTGCGAGACCAAAGGGTACTCGAGGGGTCAGATCATACGCTGCCGCATTAGCGTCTTCTACCCCAAATACAGCTCGGACTCAAATACAGCTTCAGAACAGATATGAAGTTTTGAGTAATATGGGTGAAGAATCCCCAAATGTAGTCAGACAGAGATTGCATGATTCAGCAACTAATTCTGCATGGAACAGAGGCTCAAGGCCGACTAGACAGCGGCATTCTGCTCCGATCACACCTGAGATAAGAACACTAGTCGTAGGAGATTCAATAATCAAGAATTTCAGGAGCAGATCTACAATGACATACTGCTTTCCTCATGCAACAGTTTCTGATGTAAACAAAGAGCTTGAGGAAATTCAGAAAAAGCACAAGACGGCAAAACGGATTATCATCCATGTGGGGAAGAATGATATTCGGAAAGAACAGTCAGAACTGCTCAAGAAAGATTTCTGTGAGCTCTTGGAAACAGCTGAAAGATTGAAGGTTCAGGCGTTCATAAGTGGACCACTCCCTGCAAGAGGGACAAATATGTTTTCACGGCTTCTTGGTCTAAATGTATGGCTACAGAAAACATGTAACAAGAAAGGACTGAATTTCATCGACAACTTCAATCTCTTCTGGAACCAAAGACAGCTGTTTACATCAGACGGCCTTCATCCAAACAAGCTTGGTGCAAAGGTGCTAAAGGACAATATTTTTTTCTCCCTCAATCATCCATCAGCTGTGTATGCCACTGAACTGAATTGCAAACACACACCTAGCAAATGTCCAGATGACCACAGGACCTCAAATCAGCTCCTGAGTGGACTTGTGGCTGACGAATCACCCAAGGACAGTGATAATGCCACACAGCCAAAACACCCAATGTTGATAGAGACACTATCAGTTGCCCTCTGCTCAACACATGCAGACTGTGACGCATCAGAACAGCATCAAGTCTCGTCACTCAAAAATGATCCTCAGGAAAACATATTTCTGCAGACAGAATCTCCAGATGCACAGCCTCTGTCACCGGACACGTTCTCATTGTCACAATGTTCACCACTCTTGGGTTTTTCAAAAAAGATGGAGGAACTGGTGTGTGCTGGAACTAAACTTTCACACTCCATTGCCGCAAGCCCCCAGTTACCAACCAAAAAGCGGCCTGCTCCACAACCACCTATGAGCCCACCTGGAAGAGCCCTCCGATCACACCGCCAGGGCCCAAACAACAACGCCCCATCTTCAGCTGGTGAACACAAGAGCTCTCTGTGATGTGTGTCGGGGACCTGCTTAGATAACAGTGTCTTTATCAAATGTTTTCAGAACAAGCAGGAACCCAGTGTGTCTGTAGCTTTCTCTAAGCAGATATGTGTTGTGTTAAGTGACAGAAAACCAATGACTTCATCAGGCCGTTTAGCAAATCATTCAAATCTGGTGTCTATTAAATGTAGATCTGAGACTACTATAGAAAAAACAGCTAAAACTGTTAAGTTAGCGCTTTTAAACATCAGATCACTCAATAATAAGTCACTTTTAGTCAATGATTTTATCAACACAAATTGCCTTGATTTTATGCTTTTAACTGAAACTTGGCTAGATGACAGTTGTAGCGCAGCAGTTCTGAATGAAGCAGCTCCTT